TAACAGTGAAGAAAAGTACATAATAAAACAGAATAAGTTTTAACAGAATAAGTTAACAGAACAAGTAACAAAAAAGAGCTATATTATAGAAACACAGTGAAGTAAATAAATGCACAAATTAAAAGTAGAGATTTCTGAAACTTTCCCGGTTCTCAAATTTGCATAGAATTTTAGTTCAACACTACATCGCAAAGCTCGATAAGCTTAGATAAATTAAACAGGCAGTTTTTACCTTATAGTTAAAAAAAAAGATACGTAGGTAATTTACCACTTGACGTCGTTTTTCCTCTAAGTTTGCGTAAACTATACATTAAAGGTCAAACCGCGCGCGGTGATCGGTTTTGCGTCCGCGTCGCGTCGTCGGAACTAACTCTTCGCAAATGTGACGTTCACGCGATTTCGCTGTACGCTCAATCCTCGGCAACAATCCTGCTAATTCGATCGTCACTTCTGTGCGTCAACGCGTTCACGTGCGTACGTATGCACGTAATGCATGCATGCACGCATGAGGCGAATGATCGCGCGTGCAATCGAGTGATCGTTCGGAGAAAGATCTTGAGAGAAAAGGCACGTGTTCGTTTTTTTATGGCTTTCTAAAAATATAACTGCGAACGGTCCGGCCTCTAACGTGCGTTTGTCGACAATGGTGCATTTGGTAGGCGTGTCAACATTATTATAATGAATATTTAATAGTGGCGACATGATCGCCAATATCGTTAAAAACCTGCTTTTCATAATATACATAATAATACGATATATACATCATAAGCGTAAATGAAAACAGAAAAATATTGAATTTATATATGCATAACGTTGTGTAACAGAGATCCAGAGACTTCGGAAATTTGATTATTCTTGATTAATAGCCGCGCGAGATCATTCAAATACAATAGCATTCCTAGAAAAACTCGATTGAAACTGAAGATTGATGAGAAGGAAATCGTGTATGTTATTTAAATCAATGCTCGAAAAAATACGTCTCTAGATATCTGGCACACAAAAACGCCACGAACTTTTTTCCACACCTAATATATAATGCATAGACATTAATAAATTAAAATAGTAACGTTCGATCGTTGTGAAGATTCAGAAATAATACACAAGAACGATTTAAAAATAATCCTATAAAAATTTATATCTAATGAAATTAATGCGAAAGAAATGACTGTATTATACAGAATTGTTTGATATTAGTAGCCTTATATATTGATATTCGATTCTTCATTTCGATTCGATTTTTCGTTTGTTGACAAACAAATTTTAATATTGGATCTTTCCAAACATTATGGAAATGATGCATAATATTTTTAACCGATGGATGATCGTTCCGTGACGATCCATCAATTTATTGGCATGTTTATGAAATTTCCTCAGACGTCATTCAGGTATGGTAGGAGCGCATGTCGACGTCACGAATCGCGTCGCTTGAAGGCACGAATAACTGGGGACTCCCGAGTGGCCGACTTGAATTCTACCGATCTTCTTAGCAGCCAATCCGGTTCCAAAATGTGGATTCCCAGACTGGGAGTTTCCAAGAGTAATCTTCCGAGCAAAAGAGCCGTTCGCAGTATCGATGAATCATGTTCCTAATAACGCGATAATGCAATCCGTGGACGCATTAGTGCTTTCACTTTGCATCATAAACATTCTTTACTATATCAGGGGAAGTACGCTGTAATGTGGACTTTACGCTATCTAAACAAATAAGTTATGCAGTTAATGATGTATGATTAGTTTTAAATAAATAGGTAAATATGTTTATTTTGTTCTATGATTTAAATTTTTTTATAATAAAATTCTGTTTACAGAAACAGCACAAATATTACAAGATCTATAATTTCGATTCTACAATGTTTAAAAAAAAATTTATTAAGAAAAAGCGAAACACTTATGTGTTTTATTTTAAAAAAATATATAACTGACTACAATAAAAAGTACTGTTAACTATGAAAATTTACAAAATTTTACAGAAAGAACACAAATATATGTAAATTTCCAAACGCTTGTTGTTTTCCAAACGCTAATTTAACATTTTAAGAATCTTTATTTTAGACCGCATATGAGAAACACAATCAATATTAGAAATTTAAAATGTCTATTATGATCGAAGCTGGATCTTTATTGCTTTGAATAATTCTTGAATTACTAATATGTACTTACATATTATAGTCTTTTCGAATTGCGCGCCGAATTGTTTTTCCGGATTTAATAAACTTATTAACATTTTACTTAAATCGGTTTATTCCCATTTATTCATGATTATGCAACTAGATATTTGCATTATTTATCGCTTTTATTGTATAAAAATACTACGGAATTATCTTCTTCATATATAATCAACAATGTCTACGCATATATCTTTCTTATTAATTGATAGCCCATATCGATTGCTTGATGACCCTTGAGAGTAAAGCGATTAATATGTCGATGTGTTTATTAAATAGCCAATATATATCTGCATTTATTCCTAGAAAAATTATAAATAATAACGGAAACAAATATATAAATAATAACGGAAACAAAACAGCAGTTAAATAATTGAGCCACTGCTATTCGAGATTTGTAAAGATGATGATAAAAAAACTTAAGCAATAATCGAATTGATCAATCACAGAAGAGACCATAAGATTGTAACATAAGCAGTACTAAATTCAACATTTTGATTTCTTTACTGTTTATGACTTAGTTCAGTTTTATTGTATGCAGTAAACAGATCTACATTTTTTATTTGTTATTGCTTATGTTATTGTTTTATGTCTCGCTGTGATTGACTGATTCGCTTATTGTTTAAGTCTGCTTTGCATCTTTCTGTGTTATAGCTTTTAATTTTGGACATCGGCGTTTATGTCTATTTTTTTCTTTTTTTTTAATGGAGATAGAAATAAAAGGAAGGCGTATAAACGTCACCATACTTCAAGTTAATGCTCATTGTTAGATTTAAATCAATGGTATATATCTATATAGAAATACGTAAGTAGTAGGACGTAAGCAATATATTTTATTTGCTATTGCTTATGTTCTCTACTTGTTTTATGTCTCACTGTGATTGGCCGATTCTGCACTTACGTTTTACTGCCTTATACTTTTCTTTATGTGATACTTTACAAATGAACAGTATTAAATTAAATAATTAATAATTATAAATAAAATAATAATTAACGAGATTTAAAAACGAAATATAATTATGAAAAATAGGAAGAGTTTAAATTTGAATGTTTAAACTTTGGTTTAAATATTTCGATTATGTATTTTAAACTTTCTGCATCTGAAAGACTTCGCTAAACTCAAAATGTGATTAATAGTTGATCTCATCTTAAAAATTATTAAACTAACAATAAGTAACTTTCGACTGTGTGTCTCGATGTAGAAGAATTATTACTAGCCTTTAGCCAATGAGATAAATTATTTTTACGCAAAACAAATTCTAAAGATAAAAGAATCAATTGTTTCCGAAATTATATTTCATGTTATGAGAGCCTTACGATAGATGTTATTAGGCTGTTTACGATCCTAAAATTTAATACATATTAGTGTGTATTTTAATAATACATTTTT